CATACATTAAGTCAAAGGTGGTACCATTTGGGGAGTGCGTTTCCATATTCTAAGTATCATAATAGGATGGGCTAATACAAGCCATCTGCGAGCTGGATTGTCTTACTGAGATAGTGAATACAAGTGGCCAAGAGACACTTACATTTCTTGCTGTTGTTAAATTTAATAACCACTACAGGAGTAGTGCAGATAGATTATCTCTACTAGGGATGCACAGATACTTTTCGAGTACCAGTGCAGATACTTTACATTTTCATGAGAACTACCAGGGTTACAGCGGTTGCAGCTGGGACCTGGCTCGGGCACTCCACCACTGCCCTGAAATCATTAGTCTGTATTGTTTTAGAAAAACTGTCACATGACAATAAACAAAAATTTATCAGTACTCGTACTTGTAAGTACTCGGCAAGTACCAGTACTCGTACTCGCAAAACTGGTATCTGTGCATCCCTTTATTTATATGTATAAAAACTAAATCGTACATTAAAACAGATGTACAAATCCCAGGAGTTCCGTGTGCTCCTTACAAATGACAGCTGCCTCCTAACTTTTGAATTTTTCTCTAGTGTAGTCTTGAAGCTCAAAAGTATCAGTACATGTACTCGTACTTGTACCGAGTACTGTACTTGGTATCTGTGCAACCCTAATCTCTATCTTTTGTCTCTTTTTACAAACCCCAAATAATCTATGCATTTTTCTTTCTGGATAGTATGTAGAAAAGCTGTTCATAAATGGCTTGATGCTCCTGCTTTTGAGCATCAGTTGTAAATACTGGGCTATTTGTGATTTGCCAAAGGGTTATAACAAGTGAGGCACCCACGTTGTGAAATTTTCCTTTCAGTGAGGCTTATCGTTCAAGTAAAGGATTCAAAGTACTGCACCTACATTGTACTGTAGACTTGCTCTAGACCCTGGTGCCAAGCAGACATAAGAAAAGATGGGCAGCTACATGCCTACCATTCTTTGGGAGTAGGACTTGTCCTACTGCTCTATAAATATTTTTGAGGTACTACTACATTTTTGCAAAGAATGTTCTAGTAAGAGGTGTACAATTTGTGCAGCAGATTCTGTCGTGGTAGACGGTTTGGTATGCACTTGTTGGGGTCCCAAAAAAGGTAGGTCTGTTTAGGTAGGTCTGTTTCTCTCATATACTATTTTTAGAGCTCCAGTTATTTTTTATTCTGTATTATCAAATGTGGTTCTCAATAGAACACAGTTGAGTGAGTGTTACTGGAGTCCCAACACAGAGGTTGTAGTCCTCTACATTTAATGATAACAAAGCACATAAAAAGATAAAGCTTAATAGCTTCTTTTAAAATAAAAGAACATTTAACAATGGTGCCAATATTACCATATTCAAAGCACACAGCAGCAATCTGAAATTATGTGATATAGCACACAGCTATGAATAATTCATACTTTCATATCTTCTGTGTGCAATTACATAGTGGCAAATTTGCAAACAGGACATGAGTCCATGCATCAGAACTAAGGGCTTGTTCACAGCAAAATGTGTTAAAGGAGAATAAGGGGTGAGTGAAAAAGCTGTCACAGGTTGGCTCTATTGATCAGGAAGTCAGCGAACACATACCGTCGATCATTGACTTCCCAATCCTCTACCTGCAGAGAGCGGTTACTGAGGGATTCCCCCTCCCCTCTGTTTCTCCAACGCTGACTGGAGGAATGGACAGGAGAGGGGGCGGGCACAGTTGGCTCTAGAGAGGCAGAGCCAGCTGTCAATCAGCCAGTGGGGTGGATCTCGACAGTATTGCGCTCCCAGCAAATAGCAGAAAATAACCCGCTATATGCTGAGTTTTGGGTCACCAGAGGACATTAGTATATCTCCTCCCGTGACCCTGAAGAGAAATATGGGCAAAAAAGTTCTCCTTTAAAGAAAACTTGTCATGGGAGGAAATATGGAGGTTGTCATTTCTGACCTCCTTCTGAAAATGCAATTTTTATCTTTGCCCTGCTAACCCACAGGTTTTAATGCTTCCTGAGTCATGGACCTGAAACAGTGAAGTTAGTGAAGCAAGATAGTCATCATGACAGCCAAGCAACTAGGTCAGCAATACCAGCTACTATATTTTTCTTACAACACTTTCCCCTAATATGAGTCATATTTTTGAGGAATCATTTTAACACAATTCTGGACAACATACCAAAAAACATCAAATAGGATATTTTCCAGTGCAATGCAGCATATATCTAATCTTTGTATGACTGTGCCTTTATATTTCTGTTCTGTAGTCATTTTATTGTTGGTGCAGTAGACACCACCATTTCCTCACAGTTACTTTTTTAGGTAGGTAGCCATTGAACACCAATGAATGGGGGATATTTTCACTGACCACAAATATATAATTGGCTTTGGTGATCAGTGTATATGCCCCCTTTTACATTGATAGTCTGTGTAAAAGCCCCTCTATTATGAAGATTCAAAACTAACCACCAATGTAATGAGTGGATTTACACGGACCACTGCGATATAAACAAAACAGAAAGTGAGGAGAAATTGCTCCTAAGTGAGGGAAAGGCCGTCTTAAACAACTGTCACCAGAACAAGTTTCCCTATTAAAAGATTTCGCCTCTATTCTTGTTCAAGTGACACTACATTTTGGACTCACCCAGATTTTCAGTCCCAGTGACAATGGTCACCAGAACAAACAGAGAGTGTAAATCTTCTGGTCAGAGACATGAAACATTAAAACCTGATATTGGTTCTTAACCCCTCTTAACGCTAATCAAAAATTATTAAAAAAAGGTTTGGCTTTAGATATGCTTTCTTTAAATAGGCCTAGAGTGTATACTGGTTCTCTGCGTCTCTCTAAATCATGATAGAGCCCCACCACTTCATGGTGCTAATTTAAATGCTTAAATGTTCATTGTTAGCTCAGTAGCCATTAGAGAAGCCTCAGTAAAAGGTCTGGGGATTCGAAGCCTAAAATACAAAATATTTAGCTTATATTTGGAATTAAAATCAGTAAGACCCCTATATTTAAAAAATAAATGTTAGAATTTGACATCTGAATGACAGGGAGTGGTTTTCTCGACAAGAACTAATTTAAAGATATGTTAATTTAGTTTGTACACAAAATTTAATAAGAGACAAGTCATTCTATATTGGAGGAGGGATAGATGAAGGGAGTGTGGCTAAATGGTTTACCCATCAAAAATAAAACCTTGTCTGGTGTTTATTAAAGTGACCACAATGTGGTCAAACAGTGCCTAAAGTAACAACAGTGCAGCATATATCTGTGGAGCCACTTGAGTCCTGGGATCATACTGTACACAGGGCCTCAACTTCTCTCCAAACAATAAAAAGGCTGGATTCACACCTAGGCAACAGCGTTTTTGCTCATTTGTAAGCGTGTTTTTGCTGCACATTCTTTGCACGCTTTATGCACATAAATCAAGTCACACATTTAAAAGGCACATAAAACGTGCATAGTAAACGTGTGTTTTTGAGCATTTACATTAAAGTTTATGGGGGCCAAGAAAAGCTTAATCTGGCAAAAACAAGCATGTACTTTTTCCAGCAACGGGCATTTTGCTACAAGCGACAAAATCCTCAGATGTGAACATGTCCTTAGAAATGAATAGGATTTTGTTTGGGAATTTTTTTTTAGCATTTTTAGGGCAGAAAAATGCTATATGTGAACCAGGACTAAATCTCATCTAATGTTGTCCCTAAAATCCACCAACATTTTTAACTGTTAAATGCTGAAGCTTGACAGTGAAAATACAGTAGGTGCGGAGTAAGAATATCTAAAGCAAAAAAAAATTATAAATTTCATTTTGGATACAGTAGTGGAGGGTTTAAAGGGCTGTCAGTGTTGGGTTTTTTTTGTTTTTTTTTGCTATCTGTGTCTCGTTAGGGAGATTTACCTTAATTTTTTGTCGAGTACATCCAACAGAAAGTGAGAGGATATCTTTCCAATGTGAGGGAAATCAGCTCGCTTTCATACCTGGTGACATTGATGATTAGGGCAATTTGAGGTAGCAAATTTAACTGGGACACAGACAGCAATACAAACTTGAAAAGGGTTTCTGACCCTTCACCAGTCTATCCAAATCTAAAAAAAAAAAAGTATGGTCTTTAGTTATGCTTTAGCACTTGGGGAAGCTGCTTAATCCCTGGAGAAGTTGTGACAGCGTGAACAGCCTATGCCCAATTTCCACAGGGAGTCACAGGCACACAGGGATCAGTATGAAGAATCACAAAGATTCTTGAAGGCGTCACAATGTGCCTCTGCTGTTACCTGACTTAGTATTCATAAAATATGATATATTGCAGCTTGCCAGTACTCAGTTGAGTTGGCTGCATTAGTTTTCTATTTTCAGGGTTATATTTCCTTTATTTTCACCCAGTGATCCTGCCAGAAACACACTTCCTGTTCTAGGGTGACAATGGTCAATCACTGCACTCTATGGAGGAGCAGCAGTAATTCCCTAGGCTGCTCTCCTGATTTGATCTATAAACACCTACCCATTAGTTCACATTGTTTTAGATACAATGATAACATTGTTTGAGATACAAGTTTAGTGCACAGAAAATGACAATGACGGTGGATTTTTGGCAAAACCAAAAGGTATTGTACTTCTGAAAAAAGCCATTGCATCTACGGACTGGTAAAATGCAATATATTACATTTTTGTTCTTGGGTTTAGAAAAGGAAAATAAAATAAATGCAACTTTTTAAATAGTTTTTTTTTTATGCAGGGAAAAAATGACTAGTGTAAAAACCTATTATAAAAAGAATAAAAGTACAATAAGAGAAAATATTATACTGCTCAGACACAGTAGTGTATTCCTACTACAAATGTCACTAAGACCTTGCCAAAATGTAGAGGAAACTAACAGGAAGCTTTTTTGGAGTGATATTTTGTGGAATGTTGTATGCTCTCAGAGGACTTTGTAAAAATGAATGACAGATTAAACACTGTGCTGTAACAAAATGTCAACCTTTTATAAATGCATGTTAAAGAGAAAGGCATACCATGCATGTACATTTCTTACAGCCGTCTGTCCAGGACTCCAGCTCTCTGTAGATGCTGCCCTTTACCGTGCAAGACCTCTCACAGTAGCATTGATCTAACCTATTCATCCTCTGCTCAGCTCTTGACAGCTGCAAGAACATTTCAAACAAGAGAAAAAAAGGCTTATGACACAAACAATATTTTCCATAATTCCATATTAATACATAGTAGGTAAAAGTCAGTGGTGTCACCAGAAACAAATGGCAGATTATGTGCAACTACAGCAATTACCAAGTTAACACAACCTTACCTGCCCTAATGACACCTTCCGAATCATTATTTACTCTTCAAATGATTGTACTTCTAACAGACCACAAGTACAGTAAACATGAATCTAATAGAGGATTCTAATAGAATTGAAGAGGTTCATAGCTATATACTTCTATTAAGCATTATCCAAGCTGCACCACACTGCTGCACAATTATCAAGTAATGGACAACTATGTGTTAATGTATTTGGAGTTTGGGACCAAAAAACACACAACACAAGCTAGCATATATAAAGATCTCTTAGCAGCCTTTATAGAAATAAATGCAAAAGCATAGCCAGTCAAGTTATAAAGAAGGGGTCAAACATTAAAAAAAGTCCTCCATTCCAAAAGCATAAGGTGCAGCACTGCATTCTTAAGACAGAACGTATTTACATTTAGTCATATTCATCACAAATGTAAAAAAATAGAGAGTCAATCCTGTTTAAAGTAAAACTAAATACCCACAAAGGAATACTTTGTTTTACAAAGTACTGTAAGCAAACAGAATTATGTTTTTTTTTAAATCTAGGGTTTCCCCTCACTTTGTATATGTTCCTCTCCTTGGGCTGAGCACATTCTGTAGACCAGTGGTCCCCAAACTGCTTTTCTCTAACGTACTGTCACTGATTTCATCGATGGGGATTCCTGCAACCAACAGTGGGGCACCCACTGACAATGATGATGGAGCACTCTTCCTCCCATTGACACCAACGATGGAGAACTTTATCTTCTACTTATACCGATAAAGGGATACTATCCCTTCTATAGACACCAAGTATAGAGCACCATTCCTCCCGCTAACACCAATGCTGGGGCACTCTTCCTCCTATTGACACCGATCATAAGGCACTATTCCTCCCACTGACAACAATGGGGCAACATTTTTTCTACTAGCACCAATGATGGGGCATTACCCCTCCTCCCTCTAACCATAGGCACTAGGTCATTTTTTTTACTCCAACTGATGGCAGGGCCTTTCCTAGTGTCACTTGCAATTGTCCAGCTGACCCAAGGTCTAAAGGACAGTAAACTAGCCCTTTGTTTGAAACATTCGGGGACCCCTACTGTAGACCCTTTGTACATACTTATTGTGGACATGTGCAAATAGCAGGATCTAAACATGAGCAGCACCTAAACATCACAATACTACTAACTACAGCAGAATGCGCCATAGCACTGTGATTTGACACAAATGCTTGCAGTCCAACTCAGGAGTGACAACTCTGCAGCTGAGCTTAAAAAGCGCTGTCAACCTTGGACAGGAAGCGTCTGTGAATATGCCTTGCTGGTATGATTTAGAGACACCATACAGGTTACAATCTGACTGTACAATCCTATTACAATCAACTTTAAATTTACCCAAACTATGTAACATGAGGACCTACTTAATCTATCTAATCAATTTCTATCCAAATCAGGCAGGCCCTTGCACGATACAGCTGTTAACAGATGCAAAGGAGATTGTACAATCAGATTGTAAACGGTGGTGAGCATTACTTGTAGTTTCAAAATACTTTGTCAATTAAAGAACATGTGCAACTACATATTTGGCTTAAGTGTTTGGGGTTACATACACTAAAGACAGTAAAAAGATCCATACAAACCATTCTTTTATTTCTTGTTGGTTAGCTGTTCATGCAAAAACACTGACTTATAGCACTGATACAACAAAAAGCTAATAAGCCATTATTTTCAACTAGCATCCAGCTGATGTTCTTTATGGTATTCTAGCAGACAGCTCTTTAGTCCTTCCTAATACCTAGCCCGATAATATTTTCTTGTTATACTTCAACTGCTACAATTTGATACGTTGCACCGGTGATAGTAAACAAGCTAGAAGTGGCTATATGTCAGAATAATTGGGTTTATGATTTTAGACTTAAAGATGCAGGCCTGCTGCATGTATTACATTTTAATAAACTATTTCAGATTCCCACACACAAATAATAAATATATCATAAGCTTCCTTTTCACACAGAATGCTGACATTTCTCAGGTTTTGTTTCTAGACACATCTATCTACGTTGAACTGAAAAATAATTAATCTACTTAGTACAGGAGGTATCTGTATAGAGGCTTCAGGGAGTTTTAAAAGCCAATGAATTCCAATCCAAACATTCAACTTAAAACAGTAAAAAAAAAAACAACGCTCCAATAGGCTTAGTTGGTGATTTAATGTATATGTAAACCCTAGATTGTAACACGAATTAATGTGCTCATCTCCTGCAGTCTTATTGCAGACACTTACTGCCTACATCAAGCTTCATGGCTGCCTCTGGAACACTGCCCCTGCCAGCTTTCACAGGGAATTATATTATATGTACTCTGTTTATTATACAGTCGAGAGAAAAAGATATTACAGCCTCTTTGAATTCTATGGATTAAGTAGCAGGACAAAATAAAAATCATCTGGTCCTTAGCAGGTCTTAGAATTGGGTAAATACAACCTCAGATGAATAACAACACATGACATATTACACCATGTCCAAAGATTCACATAATATTATTAGCCCAATATAACTGTATGAGACACAATGTCAAAGATACTAAATAACAGAGTTTGAGTATACATACACTTTAAACTTAAAAATCTGAGCGGTTGCATTACTTCAACCTCAATGCTCTTTACACAGTGTCTTAAATAAGTTTATTGATATAATTTTGAATGTTCCAACGCCACACCTCGTGCCTTCAAAAAGTGCAACGGGCTTTATGGACTCTGAAATGTCTCTGTGTGTTTCTTGGGCAGCTGTAATTTATGCAGATGTGTTGTTGAAGGGAGAAGGTAGCATATTTTTCTACTCTACAAGACACATTGGAAAAAAATAACAGGAGAAGCCTTTAATTGTGATATACTGAGCACAGATGATGCATGTCAAACCCTTCAAACATAATAGCTATGTCGTTCTGTGGAAGGGAATATTCTGTTTAATAACCAGTAGCACCTGCTAGAGGAAGACTTCTTCCCATCTTTTTCTGCATAGGTCAGCATTAAAAATCAAGACCTTTACACTGGTTTAATATAATGATTTGTTAGCAATGTATAAGAGCATGAATATGTATGAGCAATATGCACCAAAACTACTTTAATCTGTACAATCCAAGCGTTTCTCGCTTTGCATTATGGAGTATCTTGACATTTAGAATTAAGAATGAATATGCAAAAAATGCACAGTGTTTTATATTACTTTATACATTTTTATAGAATAATAATTATGAATATGGAATCAAATACTGTATACTTAAATACTGTATACTATGCATATATTATGGTTCAATTCTGTTGGATATCTGGATAAATATTATAAAAGTCATATTACATGTATTTTTATATCACGGACACAATACAAACAATTGCAGAGATGAAAAAATGATTCATAAGAGTCTACTACACTGGAGCTCCCAGTCTAAAGTTAACACAAGCATGGACTTAAACTGATTAGTTCTGAAGGCATTTGACCTACTATTGTGTTTTCAAAAATGCCGGAAGAATATTGAAGCTCCAAGGCTCTGAACCTTGGAACCTCAGTGCTAATCACTATGCCATGTACACCATGTTTAAACCTTCTGTGAACAGGAGCCATTGATGCCTAGGTGCCCTGGCCAAATTAAGCAGTGTACATATGCACTGGTTAACTGGACTACGTCTTGACTAACTTGACTTGCCTACCTAAAAAGGTTTTACACTGTTTTGTTAAGACATATATTCTTTTAATCGGTACATCCTGCAGAGATTTTTTTATAAAAACAATTTTTAAAAATGGTAACATTTATATATTTTTTTTAATTTATATTAATAATGCAGTATATGATCTTAAAATCTTTTAAAAATCTTTTAAAATAATTAACCACTTCAGCTATCATACCTATATAGCCCTCATGGACTAGAGCAAATTTTACATTTCAGCTAAGGGCCTGTTTATTGGGTGATAACTTGAATGAATACCATTACTTTAGATAACAAACTAATACATTCTTCTTTCCAAGACAAAGAGCTTTTTTTGGGTGATATTGTCTTGCAAAAAGTATTTCATTTTCCATGCCATCTAAGGTGTAATAAACCTTTTACCCTTGTTAGTTTAAAAAAAATAGTATTACTGTAGATAAAAATTATACCAATTCATTCTATTATGTGTCTCGTTTAGCATGACACCAAAATTAAGTTTCTAATACAAAGTAAAACATATTAACACATTAAATAAAAGCATTTTTTTTCAATTTAGTAAATTTTTTAGTGCAACACAAAAAAATAAAAATAAATAAAAGGTTAAATTATTAAAGCATGACTAAAGGCTGACAATGCCCATTATTCAGTAATTAGCTATATTATTTGTGGAAATAAAATCTTTCTTGCTTGCCTGAATCAAAATAATTGTTCTCCTTTAAATGTTAATGCATGCTGCTGGAGCCTAGATCCGTAGGGTATGGTAGGAGGGTGTATGCAGTCTTAAAGTGTCATATCCAGCTGCCCTACTCAGAATGGGAGGGGGTAGTTAATCAGGGCTGATTAGGGTTAACACATGGTTAAATAGAAAAGAAAAAATACATTTTGTACTTGCAATGTTGCTTTGACTGACATTATATGCAGATCAAAGCTCTCTTTTTGTTCTTTTGATGAATGAAACAGAATAAATAGAAAGTAACAATAACGTAACTTTGCATCTTTGAATCATGCTACAGAAAAGTGTTTACAAACACTGATCAGAAGTTTCATTGGTATTTACTGAGCAAGTCCCAGCTGTCATTTTAAAAATGACAAGTCATTTTAAGACTAATGTTAATGGGGGGCGGGGGCACAAGACAGGGCGTCTTATGTACGTCCTGTGTACTTTAGTGAAGTTCTTTTGGGTGCACGTAGCACACCTAGATACAACACTGGTCAATGTATTTTTGTTTTTTGGTTCTTTTGCTTTTGTTTTTTTAATCACGCTGACTGCTTCTGTCATAGTGCATTTCTCTGTGAGCTGGCTCGAGTTTGTAAACAATGTCACGTGATTAGTACGACATCATAGAGATAACAGAATTGTTGACCATGCTAATTGGATCCCAATTACTGTATCTAACAGTGTGGCCATCAGATCCAGTTGTTCTCCAAATCTATTTACAATGCCATGATTAGTGAAAAAAGAAACATTTTATATACCTTTGATGAGGTTTTTGCTAAAATATCCTGCAATTCCATAATTTTCTGCACCAGTCCATGGAAATCATTACACGTTGGACATGCTGAAATGATAAATAAATATAGGTCAACCTGCCGAACATAAAGAAGTTCTTTTCTTCTCTCATTGTAGAAACAAAATACAAATGTATATACTTACTGCGATTTAGATCAGGGCACTGGGAGATGAATCCTTGCGGCATGATAACAATCTGCAGATCCTGCATGATCCCCTGTGGACGAGACATGGATTGTATATATTTTGTCACACAGTGTTCTACATTATACGGTGCTATCTGATAACTACATTGTTTTGTATTTCATGAAATCAATTTCTAGCTGTGCTACAGAGTCCAATTAAGATGCCTGTGGCAGGCAAAGAAAAGCTGCCTATATGTTAAATAAAACAATTTACCTTTCCCTAAAGTATAAATCTATATTGATTTCAACCCAACATGATAAATGCAAGCCAAAGGAATGAAGAGAAGCAATTAGTACAAAACATAATAAATACATATATCACAACATAATGATGCATGTACTTGGCTAATCAGGACTCGTGAGAGGTGCATATCCTATACCATAAGGTAAATGATGTTGCTTGGTGCCTGCATAGATTGTCTGAAAAGAAAATTCTATGTTGTCATCTAAATGAAATCATTAGGAAACCTGTACTTAGAAAATACATTTTATACTACTGCTCAGCTCCCTTTCTGAACATGCTGGTTGCCTGGCACCCATGCTGGCCCAAAGGCTACTTTCTGGGCTTCTGACCTAGAGACTGGAAAGCACTGAAGCTAGATATAGCCAGGCACACAGGAGGTGGTCAACAACAGCACCCTCACATTTCTCTTAATAGGGTTTACTTTAACCAGCAGAATGAGCTTTGTTATATAGGCTAGATGAAAATATACCATATCTACAGAATATAGGATATTGTCTTTATATATTTTCATCTACAGGGAACGTATAAGTCACCCCTGGAACATGTAAGGGCTATATCATGTAACCCTCTAAACTGTTTATACAGCCAAAACATTTTTTTATGTTTTGGATAGGGTGTGGAGTAATTTGAATCCCTATTGGGTTTTTACAGCTTTTCAAGGTTCCATTAGAGAGATATTCTCAAAGGTAAAGTTACAGCAACACAGACAGAAATAAATGTTTTAGTAGAGTGTGGGGAAGGCTAGAACGCCAGCCAGTTTTTTATTGTTGCAGGTTTCCCTTTACCTCCTCTCTGATGACAGCAGAGGGGGAATTGATCTAACAGAGCCCCAAATAGCAATACCTGACATGGGTTCATGTCTTTCCCCGCTCTATCCCAAACTGACTAATGAAAACATTTTGGCTGGACATACAATTCAATTAAATCTCATTTTAGGCAAGTATGGTATACGGACAACTGTAAATTGAGAATAATGTGTTAACATCAATATTTAGTTGGTGAAAGTGAAGTGCTTCTTTATACTTTAATAATAGGCAGGATACTGGGAACAGAGTGGCAGCTGTTCCTTGCTTACTGGGGCATAATGGAGTCCAGTTTAGCACATGTTTCTGTGCTTCCACAATTCAATGGAGGACACTGTAAGCCTCACAATCTGCCTGAACAGCCGTACTGGGTGCTTGGTAAGCTGGCCATATACTTTTCTTTTTGTTTGGTTCAGACCCGCAGACTGAAGGAGCAAAATGCTTGATTCCCCCATCCACACTAAACATTGGGAAACCTCTCCCTGCTGGGCTACTGTAATCTGGCAGCAGCAGGTGTGCCACTGTTATAATATCGGATTACTGAACGCAGCTGACTGGCTGCATTTATTGTTCAGGCAAGAATTTTCAGACTGGCTCCTTTGACAAAGGTCAACTGAAAAATCAGGGTGCTGACAGGGCCATACACTACTCAGCTTTGAACAGTGCATGGCCAGCTTTACTTTCATTTGGGAGACTCCCAGTACTGCTTAAAAGCATCATGTAAACAGTCTGCAAGAACAATCATGTCATAAAAATAATCAATACAATACACGGTTGTTTTGTGCATCATTGTGCGTTTTTGTATTCTATATTTTATGATGCCTTACAAAGCCCTAGTTTTGTATTTTAGGCTTATGTTTAAATATTCATTATGTTGAGTTGAGTTATTGTTCATGTCAAGATGTATATAATTACACAATAAGCACTTAGGAAAAAAAAACAAATATAAGCATTTCTGAACTGTAACTGTGGCACAAAGAAAGTCAGGGAATACCAGACATCTTTCAGAGAATAAAACAATAAGGCATTTGTTGGTATGCTAAAAGTGTTTACCCGATAATACATAAATAAGACTGCCGTTAATGGATACAAAACCAAATTTTTCTCATTGTAAAGCACACCTGAGAGATGAAATACTTATTCCTGTTTGCCTTTCCCTAGAGTAATATAATAACATACAAAGAGGGAACATCTTGAATATGTTATAATATACGTAGAATAAAATTCGACATTGCCCAAGTAGAACACGTTTTGCTAAAGCTGCGGTAAAGCAAGAATAATAGTTGTCAGCAAAGATTGTTTTAGCATATAGGATTGCAAGTTACTTTGATCACTGACATTTGTATTTTAACAGAGATACTAAAACAATTTGTTTGCAATGATTATGTTGTTTAATTCCTAAGATCACGTGTTTGATGTTCACAGCACAAAACACATTGTGCAACAGCTTTGTGCAATGGATCATTCTGTCATAATGTATCACATGATGTATATGCCAGTATGAATTTGGAATCATATTTACAGTGTCTGAAAGGAGCATTACATTGTTCAAGCAGAAATCAGTATAATTTATCTAGTAACTGTAAAAAATAAATTAAACCAAACAATTTCTATGGGCAACTGACACCCTTGTGTTTGAATTTTGAATTATTTTGTCCCTCATTTACCAAATTAAATGATGCACACAGGAAATGTCCTACCTTAAAATAACCATGTGCATTATTTCTTTGTCCGACCCACAAGGTTGTACCAGATGGAATATCCATGAACGGCTTTTCAATAATTCTTTCATAAATCCTATTGAACAGAAAAAGAGTTAATGATTTGTTAAATTCAAATAATTGCTTTTACAAGCTAAATACAGTTATGCTATTGTTTATGCCCAACCTACTTCCTAGAAAAAAAAAGAAAAACATTTTTAATTTCCCTTGGACATTTTTTATGCTTGTCACTGGCTATCAATAAATTAATAAGCTGCCTTTTTCTATGTATTATTTAGTCACCAGTCCATGAACCTCATAAAATACCTGACTTATTAGAAGCTTATTGGTATACTATAAAAACAAAAAAGTCACTGTTAATAATATAGTGTAGAGTTGCCTCTTACTTGTTACAATCTACATGGAGAACCAGATGGGATGCACTGATTGCCAAGGAAAATCTATGCCATTTATCATCCGCCAGAATATAAGGAAAAACTTCTGTCTGAGATCGATGACTCCCTGAGCGATAGTGCAACCTGACTTCATTTCGATGGCCACTACTTTCTAGCTCAAGATACCTGCATGAGCAAAAGAAAAAAGGAAAGAAAAGGGCAAAGAGAAGCACATTAGAGTTCATCATTTCCTGTGATGGTTACGATACTTTTCTCATAATGCATCGAGGTACAAGTCAAATTTAAGGCAACATGAGTTCATTTTTGTTGACGGCTCATCCTCACCTAGAGAGATGCAGATGATGCATCTTCTCTCTTTACAACACTGAGACAATTGTATTGGAGGCAGACCATGTATGTAATCTTCTGTACTTTCTGGGTGAATAGTTCTAGTTTTCAGAAACCAGCAATCAATATGATAGGATCTGTGCAGGGAATTTATCAAGACTGGAGCAGTTGCCCATAGTAACCAAACAGATTCTCTCCTTAGTTTGCTCAGTCAAGATTTCAAAAATGAAAGATAGAAGCTTATTAGTTGTCATGAACACCTACTTCAGAATCCATTTGCTCCAGTTTTGATAAATTACCCTCTGTGAACCTTCATCTAAGAATAAAGGCATGGTCTAACCCAGCTTCTGTTTACATCTTACAGCAGACACCAGAAATGCTGTGGCAAAGTCAATTATACCTAGCTTTATACCTAGCTGTAGACAGCCATGTCTTTATTTCCCCACAGAGCAAAATCTGGCCTTTATTCTTGTAAAATGATTAACTTAAAACTGTTTAAAAGCACTTCAATATTATAAGGTAATACATATGATTTACAAATGAATTTTCACCTCCTTGCTTAACTGCATTATATTTGTCAGGCAGAATTATATTATTAAACATTTTAAACATATTAGGCAACACCAATACCAGCAATTTATAATTCTAAAGAATAAAAAAAACAATATATCATTATCAGAAATAAATATAAAAAATGAAGTGGCATGCCGTCCACTGTGACATCTAGACTTGAGAACAAAGATCTATGCACTCTAAAATTTCAATTTACAGTGACTGTTACCAAGTTTTATTACAAAGACACTCAAGGACATTAAGGTATATAGGGCATAAGGCATATAAGGATAAAGGTCTACATAGGCTTAAGTAGCCTTTGCAGGGATTTGGAGGAATAATTCAAAAAGTTTACACATCTTAAAGGATAAAGAAGCAAGCAGAGCGATACTGCCAAAAGTATTAAAGAAGCAGGAAATCACACAGGCTGTGCCTAATACATTTTGTTCAAGTACAGGTCAGTGGTGCACACCGCCCTTTGCAGGCTCTGTGGACACACATCCAGTGGCATCACTCGTTACCAAGAGCTGGGTGGGATGACGGCCAGAGCGTCCCAGGTGTGTAAGAGCTGGGTGGGGGGATGTGAATGGCCCTTACGCATCTCCGCGCCAGGCTCTTAGCAACCTGGGACTCTGGGACCTGGCTAGAAAAGGGGGCATTAGACACACTGCAAACATTGTGCAGCAGAGCGGCAGCCTCAGGCTGCCTCATTACAAGGATTACCCTGGGCAATGTGCCACACCACTGAGTTGATAATGATTCATGGGAGCCCTTTGGATAGTCTTTTAACTATTCCCTAGTTTTTTTAAAAATAGGGGAAACAGGTTGTCAGGCATTTCTTCTGCACTTTTTGGGAGGAAGACAGGGCACCTCAAGGTACAGAAGAGAAAGCAAACACAATCTTGATGTAAATAGATTCTTTAATGGGAAGCACAGGACTTCAAAGCTACATGGCTAACAGGCTAACCCAATAACCACAATATTACACCTTCTCAGACCCAGTGACCACATTACAAAAAGACACCTAAAGTCTTGTTTTTGCATTGTTTTGACAGCACTGGAAACTTGTAGGTAAATCCAGCAAATACAATTAAGGAGAGAGAGAGCAGGGGCTTCAGAAAAGTGGAGAGTAAAGAGTCTTTATATATCTCAAGTATCATGCAGTATTTCTTCTTTCCATGCATCCCCATCTTATGTGTTTTCAGAAGAGATGCACACACTGTGTGAAACAACATATGACCCAAACCAAGCTGATGCACCAATTATGGATATACTGTATAGTGAGATTAGCCAGTCTTCCAATATGCAGTCAATATTCAACATAAAGTCTTCCGAGTTTTGTTTTCTTTTCATAGCCAAGAATAGTACCGGTTATCCTCAGCAGCCCTTTTAGATCATTTATAATAGCTGCAAAGACTGATTTCTTTTAAATGAATGATCCAAGCTTATGTTAACCACTTAATATCTTTTTTCCCCTGACACGAAGCACATATTATAACATTAAAAAAAAAGAAATTTTCATAGTTTCCTCTACCACAGTAATGTTGAGTCAAAACAAATTATAAGCAATACGTAGATAATAGAAGAGCTAATTATTGTATCTCTTGGTGTCTTCATTTACAAAAAACACATTTAGCAAGTAAACTAGTTGCGTGGGTAAACGTTATGGGCATAGATGATTTTATTAACCACTTCAGCATTCTTCACATATGTCCTACATCATGCATTTAAGTGGTTAAGTGGTCTATTATTTTGTACTAAAATAGTGCAGACTATATTGTGTTTGTGTGCACTTAAATTAATTGTACTGTATTGTTATTGAAAATATAGAATAGATAAACAGCTGCTCAAATATCATGCAACATAACAAATTGCAGCTACCATCTTTTTATTTTTTCACAAAGATTTTATTCGTTTTTTGTTATGTTTTGTATGAAAATTACAAAGATAACGCAGTCAAGGCTTGCAAGCCGTATAACAAGTAATTAAATAGTAGACATACAGTCTTAGTGCTGCACAGAGCACTGCAAAATACTGTGTATAACCAACAGGTATAGCATGTCCGGTTCTGAAGAACGGCATAAAAGGTACAGTGCTGTATAGACCTACTGTACTAAGTAAAAGAATCACCATGGGGGAAACGTGGCAATTTAGTAATCCGATTCTCTAAGAAGTGAGGGCTATTGGTCTCACTACAGCATATAACAGAACACAGGGTCCAGAGGGGAAGAAGCACATCAATCAGCAGTGACGTGTGCGGGAAGAGGAGAGGTATAGGGATTGTTATTGGAGGCATAGAGGGGGAAGAGGACAGGGGGTGGGAAAGAACAAGAGGAAGGAAGGGTAGGACAAGGCACAGTATAGGTAATGGCATCAAGGGGGGGAGGAGAAGTACAAGGCCTCTAGATGGATAACAGCTGTGAATCAAAAGATGATGGTCTAGAGTAATCAATCCAAGGCTGCCAAATCAGTAGGAAGTGGTCATGTGTGTCTGACAATATCGCCGTCAGTTTTTCATTCACCAAGATATCATCAAGGCGATTTTTTACTTCCCCGAAACTCAGGGTTTGGGTTTTCCACGCTCTGGCGATCGCCATTTTGGTGGCGACAAAGATGTGGGATACTAGGAGTTTTTGGTAACGCGTCAGTTGTGGAATTGGCTGCAGCAACAATGCCTCACACGGTTCCCGTTGCAAGGAGACTTAGAGAGAGTTAATTAGGTTATACACACTGTTCCAAAGACAAGACACCTGGGGACATGTCCACCAGATGTAGAACATGGTGCCTGGCGTGTTGCAACCCCGGAAGCAATGCGGAGAGTAGGAGGGAACGTATTTTGCTAGACGGGCAGGCATGTATTACCAACGATACATCACTTTGTATGAGTTCTCAATTGTGAGCACATTGCGGGAACAGCGGGCCACCGCTGGCCAGGTACGCTGCCAGTCCTCTGGGGTCAGGGACCTGCCCAATTCTTCATGCCATTTATGTTGATAGGGAGTAAGAGAGGGAGAGGAGGAAGCGAGCAGAGAGGAGTAGATTAGGGAGATGACACCTGGAGCATGTGGGTCAGAGTAGCAGCAGCGCTCAAATAGGGTCAGCCTTTTGGGGGCAGAAGTGTTCTTTAGCAGCTAATTAAAAAAATTGCTTATTTGAGTATAACGGTACCATTCCCGGAGGGGAATACTATGAGTTTCACGAAGTTGTTGGAACGGTTTAACTCCCGAAAGCGAGATAAGGGAGTATATGGTGGTTAGGACATTGCGCGACCACCAAGAAAACGAGTGAGGGTCGCTAGCGCCAGGAGGGAATAAGGGACAGTTGATCCAGGTCAGCAAAGGTAGGTGAGGTGTCTTCAGGTTGCTTGAGTACCTAACTCCATACCACACTTTTACAGAGTGTTGGAGGATAGGAGTAAGATTGGGTGGGCGATCAGTCGGAGATATCCATAGTAGGGAGGAGAGGGGTAAGGAGTGACAGTCTACCATGTCCAAGCATGCCCAAAGGGGAGCTCGGTTTTCGAGTGCAAGAGGGCAATGTTGGCGGCAATGTAGTATGATTGGAGATTCGGGACTGTGAGACCGCCACGGGCTTTAGAGCGATAGAGCAGGTTTTGATTTATACGGGGTCGAGAATTGCCCCAGATGAACGCAAGTACCTTGCGTTGTTGTATGCGGAAAATGTGGCTGAGAATGGGGGATCGGAAGGACACGGAAGACGTAAAGCAGCTTGGGCAGGAAGGTCATCTTTACTGCGTGGATCCTGCCTATCCAAGAAATGGGAAATCTCTGCCAGGAAGTTAGCAAATTGTTGAGGTTTTTCGGGAGAGGGGGGATGTTGGCTGCGTATAAGGCGCCGTATGTCGGGGTCAGTCGTATACCCAAGTATTTAAGGGAGGGGGGTCCACTGGAATGAGAAAGAGAGCTTGAGTGTAGTCTCAGGTGCCAATGATACATCAAGGCTGGCGATTTGGATTGGTTAATCCGTAAGTCCGAGACGAGTGAGGAGTCTGATCGGAAGGGAGAGGAGGGGACTAGTCAGGGTCAGGAGAACGTGATTGGCGAAGAGAGATATTTTGTGGTGTGTGTCCGCCACCTCAAGGCCTCGGATATCAGGGTGGGTCCTAATGTATTCTGCCAGGGGTTCAAGAGCCAAAGTAAAAAGGACGGGCGATAGGGGGCATCCTTGGCGAGTTCCTCGGGCTATTTAGAACAGGGAAGATTTTAAGCCACAGTATTTAAGCTGGGCTTGGGGAGAGGTATGCAAGGCTGTGATCCATGAGAGGA